TTTTGTGGATGTTTTTAGTAACTTTTGTTCTTTATTAGCTAAAAATGTTGTGACACATTTCCAGTTTTCACAGGTTTTATAATTAAAATACCAAAATGGTCATGCTTTTGTGGATTTTACGCATGCGAGAAATTCACAGATAACTTGATTTCTGTTATGTTTGCATGGATTTTTAGAGGAGGAAAAAGGGTCTCTTTTTTTTTTTTACATTTGTTTTTATGCAATGTATTTTGTCAAGAGATGCTGAAAAAAAAGAGAGGTCCCCATTCTGAACCCCAACTTCAGGGTTAAACTGTTGCTTAACGGTTTAACCCCTAAAAATAATATAATGTCCGAACACTCCTGACCCCATAACAACTTAAATAAGCTTAACTTGCTATTGGGGATGGGAATGTTCCTGTAATAAAAATTAAGACTCAATTTGAAATCCTGGTTGCCACCAACAGAATTCTTCAAATCTGTTTTGAAAACTACATATCAGCTCTATTTAACTTAATGCATCCATCTCTGTGCTGCATAAAGTAAGATTGATTGATTGATTAATTGGAGAGCTATATGCAATACATATTAAACCCCCTGGCATCCAGGTCTCAGCCAATTACGGTATGTGGTTCCTGTAGTTAAAGTAGCTAGGACACAACCCTATGTCTGTGCAAGTCCACTGGTTCCTATAGTTACTGTAAGTAAACGCAGGTCCTCCGTCTCATCTGTGACCTTAGCCTTGACCCACTCACTTAGCCGACTTAATGAAAATGACAGGGACTTGCTAGGTTTCAAAGAGGTGACACAGTGTGGTTAAATATTCAAGAGCAAAAATAGAATTTAGGAGAACAGTGGGAATGGCTTTGGTTAGTTCCCAGGCAGGTTTAAACATATTTTAGCACACTAGTGAAGTTTTTATTAAAGGCACGGACACTCCTGTTATGCTGCACTCTTTCTTTATTTTCCTCAGCAGAAAAAAAAATCATAGTTGAAAATCTTTAGAAAAATAAAACATGCTATTCCAGAACAACCACATTCACATATTAACAGGTCAACTAGTCAGAATACCTCCAATCCTATCATAGGTAGGACCAAGGCATCCACTTCCTCTTACTTTGCTGCTCCCTCAGTCAAGTATAGAAGGTCCCTGATCCCCAACTGTGGGATCTCTTATGCTTCTGTTTTACATTTATACTATTTTCATTTGTACATTGCTTTTACTATTACCAGCATTTTATATGTGATTTATTTTTCCTGTTCTGTTTTTCTATTCTGTGCACTACCTGGTGTTTTCTCTCTCCCATCTAGGACTCCACTGAGTTCTGTGTGTCAGTATGACTCTTACCCACCTTTTTGCTGCACTTTTCGCACTTAACCAGCTTTCCCCTGATCTACTCGTTTTTTTTCCTTAGCCACCCTTCTGCTCTACTTCTCGCACTCTGTCTCCTAAGCCATTTTCCCCAAACAGCTTAGATTGCTTTCAGTGAGCATTCATCCATTTTCTGGGTGTTTGGCTGGTGGCCATTTTGTTAGCGTCCACTTTCCTTCAAATGGCGGCCATCTTGCCAGATCCTGGTCTGCCCCCAATTTTACTGGCGATTTACTCTTGTGCTCCCATTAACTTCTCCTGCAGTTACATTTTCTGTCTTCTCTGGGCATTCGGATGGATCCTTTTTCACTGGCCTTTTATGCAAGTTTCCCAACAAGGGCAACACCCAGGTGGACCTTGTTGGGTGAGCACTTCCTGTCAGTCTGGCCGGGTACAAGAAATTAATGTTCTTGTACTACGGACTGGAGCTCGGCCACGCTACACTTAAGGACTGACAGGAGGGAGTGATGTGAGCTTCCCTAGTTCCGATCCCTTTTTTTTTTGTGCGCCTGGGCCAGTGCGCCCTAATGGAAGCACTGGCCAGGGCAGTGGTGCAGCCGCCTGAGGCTCTCTATAGAGCTGATTGTATGTGTGCATGCACTCGTGATTCCAGCACAGTGGCTTCTCAATGAGAAACATCTAAATTGACTTTTTCCCAGCATAAACAGAATATCTGAGCTGGGGCACTCCACCCACGATAATGAAACATAACCTTCCAGTGTATTCCTCTACATTTTAAATGTGTCTTTAAACTACAATAAATGTGTTTAGAAATCATTCTGTGTAAATAAGAAACATTGTTCTTGTACTAAATTACATTTTAGTTTCATAAAATTTTCATATAAAATTTCTTAGAACAGCCACAACCCCCACTCACACCCATACAGTTATAGTGTCCCTCTTTGTCCATTTGTCCAAACATTTGGAGGTATGTTTTGGCCTACAAAGAAACAAAGGGGTCTGCAAGTGAACATGAGAGCAGCAATGTTTGCTTAAAAAGAGTAGGAGTAAAATAACTCATAATTTGCCTTCTTTTTCAGCAAAAAGGTGTGGGGGCTGGGGAGGCTGTTTCCTCTTTATCACTATCACTGTTCATAATTTAATCAGCCCCTTACTGACAGACAGCTTGTTTACATTGAGTCCCAGCTGTGTGTGTTTCCCTTCTCTCGGACTGCTAACGCTAAAGACCTTTATTTTGCTCTGTTAGCTTCCTGTGATTGACATTACCCTGATCTTTTTGTTCTCGGTGTCACATCACACCTTCAAATACATTTCCAATAACCCTGCGACACTCCCTCACTCTCACTGACAGACACACAGCTCTTTGTGTCTTCTGGTAAAATACCAGCCTGCTTTCTGTTGCCTTAAGTGCTAAAATCTGACGAGGATTAGGTTTGTGGTGATCTGTTAAGCAGATAAGTCACTTTCGAGGTGTGGTCGTACACAATCCTCTTTTGTTAGTGCTCAGAAGAAAAGCATGTATGTTATCCACGTTATGCTTAACAAAAATGTTTTATTGTCTAACAAGATAAACAGTAATGTTATGGAAACCAAAACAAACTCCTCAGCTGAGTGAGAGAGGGCACTAATAAAGCCTCACAACAGATGTGGTAAAATGGAAGAAGGGTTAAGGGAAGAGGTTAAGAGAAACCTAAGCAAAGTTAAAGGGAAACTATAGTTTAAGGAAAACAAAGTTGTTTTTCTAGCACTTTTCCTCGCCATAGTGCCCCCCTCCATTGCCCCTCACCCCGTTTTTTTACAGAAGGAGTTGTTCCTTGGAGCTGGTTTAGGCTCCACCTCTGCTCCTCCTCCGCCGACATCAGCTGGCGTGGGGACCTAATGCGCATACTCTGCGATCACTATGCTCGCATTAGGACTTCCTCCATTGTAAAATGCTTCTCTCTGGGGGTTTGGGTGACGCTGGGTGTCCTCATGCCGACCGTGAGATCATTCAGAGTCAGTTAGGCAACCAAAAGTCGCCTAACCACCTGGAATTCCCCCTAGTGGCTGTCTGGTGGATAGCCACTAGAGGTGGAGTTCACCTTGCAATGTAATTATTGCAGTTTACAAAAAACTCCAATAATAACAACTGCAGGGTTAAGGGACCTGGGACACTGCACCCAGAACACTTCAATGAGCTGAAGTGGTCTGGGTGCTTATATAATTTATTATACTTACCGTATTTTTATAAGACGCCGCTATTTACAAGACAACCTCTATTTTTTTAGCCCAAAATTAAGAAATCAATATTTTAAACATCAAATAGAACAACTTTGATATTTTAGAGGTGACTTCTGAGGAGCACTATAGTGCATAGTGGGAGACTACAGATCCCACAATACAGCAGGTGGTGTGAGGGCATGCTGGGACATCTCAGCAGTATTCCCTCTGTTCCCTGTTCCCCATTTCCTCCCCCGTAAATAAAAATCAGAAAGCAAGACCTAACTGAGGTGGAGCATGCCTTAATATGGCTGCTCCTTTTATGGCGTGACATGTCTCTGGAGTTCTGGTGGTAAGTGCTGTCTGGTAGAGCTCCCACGCATATAGGGACCTCCTTGCCACAGCATTCAGAAGTGGATAACATGATGTAAAGTCTAGAGGCCCTGCTTCATGTCACTCTGGGCCAATGACCTGGATCCAGATCGGGTTTGTAACGGATCAAGGGCACCCCGACTGGGTACCTCCGTTGAAGGATGCTCGTAGCATTTCCTGAGGGCTCCAAGCACTCCAGCCGACACCATAACCACCATAGACTCCTTCAGAGAGCAAAAACTGGAACAAGCTCTTACAAGAGCTTAGCAGTGAATATAGCAAGGGAGTATGCAGAGCATAGCAATCCCTTGTAGCAGATTCCCCCGATAAGAGACGGCACTCCAAATTGAGGGTGAAGTAGAACTGCCTGTACTGGCACATACAGCCTCTTTTATTCCCAATCCACAAACTTAGTACTGCCCACAGGGTTTTACAGAACAACCAAAAACACACATACATTACAGAAAACACACCCAGCAATTACCCACAAAATCCTCCCCTCTGCCTGTGATATAATTGGCCTATGCTGGTGCAGGAACCCACCCTCCGAGCCACTTGTGAATGACTGGCCTGATAACTGTGGAAATGACCATTCTTCTTCCTCCTCTTCCTCCTGTGTCACATCCGCTTCCATCATCGCCCGAAGCATTTTTTCAAGGAGACATAGAAGCGGGATAGTAAGGCTGAGAACGGCGTCATTGGCACTGGCCATGTTGGTGGAGTCCTCAAAACAGTGCAACATGGCACACAGGTCTCGCATGGAGGCCCACTCATTGGTGGTGAAGTGGTGCTGTTCAGCAGAGCGACTGACCCGTGTGTGCTGCAGCTGAAACTCCACTATCGCCTGCTGCTGCTCGCACAGTCTCTCCAGCATGCGCAAGGTGGAGTTCCACTTTGTGGGCACGTCGCATATGAGGCAGTGAGCGGGAAGACCGAAATTACGCTGCAGCGCAGACAGGCGAGCAGCAGCAGGGTGAGAATGCCAAAAGCACGCACAGACAACCCGCACTTTCTGCAGCAGCTCTGATATATCTGGGTATACACCGTGGCGGTGTAGGTGGAAGCGGCGGCGGTGGAGGAGGAGGAGGTAGCCAACACTGTTTTTTTTGTTGTTTTTTTTTTTAATTGGGGTAGCCCCAAAAATATTGGGACATATAAAAAAAGAAAAAAAAGAATAAGTGCACTTGAGTATAACAATGGCTGGGTGAGGCCGGTATAAATGTCTATTCTGCACAAGGTACAGACAAGTCTGGTGGGATCCATGCCTGGTTCATTTTAATAAAGATGAGCTTGTCCACGTTGGCCGTGGACAGGCGGCTGCGCTTGTCTGTGATAACCTTGTGCGGATCGCACGTCCCCGTGACGGCGACAACGCATTCGGATGTCTGCCCTATCAACTTTCGTGCTATTTTCCGCGACTACCATGTTTAGGGTTCGATTCCAGAGAGGGAACCTGAGAAACGGATACCACATGCAAAGAAGTCAGCAGGCGCGCAAATTACCCACTCCCGACGCGGGGAGGTAATGACGATAAATAACAATACACGACTCTTTCGAGGCCCTGTAATTGTAATGAGTCCACTTTAAATCCTTTAACATGGATCAATTGGAGGGCAAGTCTGGTGCAGAGCGACTGACCCGTGCATGCTGCAGCTGAAACTCCACTATCACCTGCTGCTGCTCGCTGAAGCTGCATCAGGATCCTGGTATGTGGACACACAAACGCTGGTGCTCAACACCAGGGGGCGTGCTGTTACCCTGCACCAGACCCTGCTAATCCATTCCACACTGTGACTCCGAACTTCAACATCAGGCATAATGGGTCCCGGTCGCCGGACTACCACCCTGACTGTGAAACTGCGAATGGCTCATTAAATCTGTTATGGTTCCTTTTATCGCTCCATCTGTTACTTGGATAACTGTGGGAATTCTAAAGATAATACTCCCTCTTATGCTGTGCTGGTGTCTCTGTGCGACTAGTGCCTCTTGCTCCAAACTGCACACGTCACTTGCATGACCTTCATACCATGTGGGGTCTAGGACCTCATCATCCTCCACATCATCTTACACCCACTCATCAACCCTGCCCTCCTTGCCGGTCTGCACACTGCAGAAAGCCACAGCAGTTGGCACCTGTGTTTTTCAGGCATGTAAAGTCTGCAAATGACATTTGGAAATTGTTTGAGAATTGTATCCAGGCAACAGTTTTCCCTATAAACTGACCTCTCAGTGTGACTTGTGAGGGTATTGCCCCAGAATTACAATATTGTTTAACCCCTTAAGGACCAAACTTTGCAAAAAAAAATTCTTGCCCATCTTCTGTGGGTTATTGCATTTTTAAGATGTAGACTTATTGTATCACACTAGCCATGCACAGGTAGATTGTTTTGGTGTTTGGTTTTTAACTTTGTAGTTGTGTCTTTACACAATATAGAAATGTATATTAATGTTTCTGTATATGAAGCGATCACAATAACACTTATTTTTCCCTTTTTTAAAAAGACTTTAGACTTTGTTGAGAAGCGGTAACTAGTCAGTGTTGCACACATACACCAGATATGAAGTGCACACTCCAAAAGTACTATTTAGCAGCCAAAAAATTAGAATTTTTAAAACTGCGCAGTAAGCACAGTATTTGACGGTTCTATTTGACTCTCAGATATGAAGTCCATCGCAGGCCCGCAAATGTACTATTTAGCACCCAAACATTTTTAATTTTTAAAACTGCTATGTCACAGCAGTATTTGATGGTTCTATTTGAGTCTCAGATATGGAGAGCACCGCAGGCCGCAAATGTACTATTTAGCACCCAAAGAAATTTCATTTTTAAAACTGCGCTGTAAGCACAGTATTTGACGGTTCTATTTGACTCTCAGATATAAAGTGCAGGCCCCAAATTTACTATTTAGCACCTAAAGAATTCGAAATCTTAAAACTGCTATGTCACAGCAGTATTTGACGATTCTATTTGACTCTCAGATATGAAGTACACCAAAAAGTTTGATTTATTAAACCAACAATGTGACAGTAGTATTAGGGGGTTTTATTGGGCTGCAAGAAATGCAGTATGCAAATGTACTATTTAGCACCAAAAAAATTGCAGTATTTAAAAATGTCTAGATGTTGCCCACTGAGCTACCAGAATAGGATTAAAGTAATGTGCCTGGCACACATGCAGTTGCAAGTGCACTGCACTCTCTGTGGCACTGGGCTCAGGGCAGTATACAAAAATGTAGTATTATAGCACCCTCAAAAATAATCGCTGTAGTTTGAATAATCGCTGTAGTTTGCAGATTCAACACCAGAATTCTTTCCTAATCTGTCCCTAACAGCTGCAGCATCCTCTCCCTACACTAATAAGAGCTTGTGTGTGCGGCGCTTCGTGACTCCAGCTTATATATAGAGGCATGGCTGTGATGGCATTAGTAGGCATGGCTGTGATGGCTTCTAAGGGCACACGAGTCAAACGCTTGTTGATTGGTTGCCCTGCAGCCTTTCAAAATGCGTCATTAAATCGCAGAACACCAAATTCCAACCCGAACATACAGTGATATATCCGTGTTCGGGGTCCAAAAAACGTAATGTTCGGTACGAACCCGAACTTTACAGTCCGGGTTCACTCAACAGTGCACCTCATGTACAGGTTTTATTGGTTTTCCGAATGTTACAGGTTTAAATATAGGGATTGCAATTGAAATTCCCTGGGTTGTCAGGTATGTCCCTCAATATAATAAAATTACATAATTGTGTAAAAATGACATATACATATACACATAGAATTAAACTATATATAATATAGATTTCAGGGAAGTAAAGAAAGACAAAGTGGGAAAGGATGTGTGAGCTTACAATATATATCGAACAATTCTGGATATGTTTAGACTTTTTTGCTCTCCCTCTTGTGTCGTTTTTGCTGCTCTTTTAATTTAATTTAATTTATTTTAGAATCACGCTCAATAAGAAGTATCCTGGCAACCTGCTGTTCTTTATCTCTGAACAAGCACTATGGGACCCAACTTCTGAGTTCTGTTCATACATTGAAATGTCAATGTGTTTCTTTTTCTGATCTGCACTAGGAGTATTTTTAATTTTGTTTTAGGTCTAAAGAATCAGTTTTGTTGCGTAAGAATTGACAAGTGTCTTGAACACTGTTTAGTGAATAACACTTTTTTTTTTTAATCTGCACCTTTGGGTTTAAAATTGTTTATTTTATTACACTTTACTTTTTTACACATATTTACTTTGCAACAATTTATTACACACCCTTTTTTAAATGCATTTTTTCTTATGCCTGTCTAGTCACAAAGGTTAATGGGTTGCTACACATTGTCAAAAATGTTTTCAGTTTATATATTGTGCCCTTACCACTGTATACATTTATTTATATACAGATATACATATATAACGTGCAGATACACACACTGACACACATACAGGTACACACACTGACAACAAACAGATTCATTGATAGATATACACACAGACACAAACACTGACACACGTGCCGGATAAAATTTACACTTGTAGATCCAGGGGGTGGTTGGGCCAGGGGGCAGGGAGGCAATTGCCCCCCAGGCCGCCCTAAATCCTTTTAAGACCGGCCGCTGCAGGGCTGGTCCTAATGCTGCAGCCGCCTGAGCGCTCTGTTAAGAGCCTCTGGCGGCTGCAGCTCAGCTTCTCACCTCCCCTTCCCTTCCCTTCCCTGTAGCGTGGCCTAGCTCCTCTCTGGTCCGCGGTGCCCAGCCGGAGTGATAGGAAGGTGCACACTCAGTGTGCACTTCCTGTCAGTCCGGCCGGTTACAGGAAACATAAACTCTGCGCGGAACAGGAGTTTCTGTTTCCTGTACCCGGCTGGACTGACAGGAAGTGTACACTGAGTGTGCACCTTCCTATCACTCGGACCGGGCACGCGGACCGGAGAGGAGCTCGGACACGCTACAGGGGAGGGAAGGGGAGGGGGGGAGAGTAAAAAGAGGGGGAGAGTAAAAAGAGGGGGTAAGAAGAAGAAGTGGGGAGTAAGAAAAATGGAGTAAGAAGAAGAAGAGTGGGGGGTAAGAAGAAGAAGAAGAGGGAGAAGAAGAAGGGAGTAAGAAGAAGAAGAGGGGGAGTAAGAAGAAGAGGGGAGAAGAAGAGAGGGGTAAGAAGAAGAAGGGGAGTAAGAAGGAGGGGAGATAAGAAAGAGGGGGTAAGAAGAAGAAGGGGAGTAAGAAGTTGAAGAAGAGTGGGGAGTAAGAGGAAGAAGGGAGGGCAACAAGAAGAGGGGGTAAGAAGGGGGAGTAAGAAGAAGGGGGGAGTAATAAGAAGAAGGGGGGGTAAGAAGAACAAGGCGGGAAGTAAGAAGAACAAAGGGAGGAGGGGGGGTGAGGAGAACACAAGGAAGGTGGAGGGGGGGATGAGAAGAGCACAGGGAAGGTGGGTGAGTGTGAGAAGAGACTGCTATGGGAGGGTGGGGGAGAGGAGAGACCACTAAGGGACAGAAGGGACAGCTCTATAGGACAGGGGGCAAGACATGGAGCTCTTTCACACTACGCGCACACACACACAATGCATCCCTATACATACACAGAAACACACAATGCATCCCTACACACAGAGAGAAACACAACATGCTTCCCTTACACACAAACACACAATGCATTCATTACACACACACACAATGCAACCCTTACACACAAAGGCAATGCATCCTTTGCACACATACACAGAAACACACAATGCAAACCCTTACACACACACTGCTTTTCTTACATACACACAGAAACACAATGCATCTCTTACACTCAATGCACACACATACAGACACACACACACCTTGCATCCTTTATGCATACAAACACAGATTCACACAATGCATCCCTTACACACAACCAGAAACACACAATACATCCCTTATACACAAATACACACTGCTTCCACTACACACAAACACACTGCATCACATACACAAACTGGTATTCCAATACACTACATACCATAAGCACACATATTAGATCCTCTACAATAACACATAACACATCCCCTACACACTTCACACTCCCCTCGAGCGAACTCATGGGTGGGTGGAATATATAAGTGGACTTATGAGTGGGCCTTGTGGGCATACTCACCGTCAGGCCCTGGGGCCAAGACCTTGAGCTGTGTAAGGGGCCCCCCAAAAATGGAGCTGCTTCCAATTCTCCCAGAACATTGAATTTTGTGACCACAGTTGCAAACAGCCTCCAGAGATCCTGTTCTACACCAGACCAGTGGAGCCAAACTGCAGCCCATCATCGTCCTCATCTGGTTGTAAGTAGGCAATCTAGTATTATTAGTGACACTAATCTATAATTTACCTCACATTAAAGGGACACTATAGCTTAATGAAGTGGTTCTGGTGTCTACAGCCGGTCCCTGCAGGCTTTTTAATGTAAACACACACTGTGGGCAGCACTGGCGTTAGTTCATATGGCAGATCATATGGGTGGGGCATTGTGATTTGTCTAGGTCGGCAAAAATCCTTGCACCGGCTCTGATCCTGGGCAGGGGCACCAGTCTACTGGTGACCCACAGGAGGGGAGTGCACTGATTGCACTGCACTCTCCTCCTGCCCAGACCCGTCTTTACCGCAGTGCAAGTGCCCTCTGCCCCTAATTTACAGTGGCTCACACTCACAGCAAGCAGTGCCTGG